TGGGGTCCGGGGTACTGCTTCGATATACAATGTGAAATGTTTACATTGAACCAAGTAACACATCCATCACAATTATACTCATTTCTTAATAGTTTTGAAATGTACCATTGTATCATGCACGTTAGGTGAGGTCCCCCCGAATACCTTCCCTTCTCCCATATCCCCTCTCCCCACCCCTCTCCTCTTAGGGAAGGGGTCTCTCTCTTGTTCAGGCTGGTCTCAAACTCCTGATCTCAGACAATCACCCACCTCAGTTTTGAAGACTGTTAGGATTACAGGCACAAACCACTGCACCTGGCCTTGTCAATTGTAATAAATTTAAGTGGCCTCATATGTCTAGAGCACATCACGTTGGATAGCTCAGTTCTAGAGTAAAGAGTCAGTGTCATACCGTGTCTAGTACAGATATTACATGTGGGTGGTCCTCTCATGTGTCCTCATGTTGTGAGGCCCTAAGTTTACCTCTTATACAGAGTGGTAAAGTCCTGTGAGGAGAAACCATCTCCAAGTACGTGGAGTGGACAGAGCTCTGAAATGAAGCTATCAGAGAAGATAAATGGAGGGAGTCTTCATCTCCCTCTATTTTTCAGTCATTTAGGAAACTTCAAGGGTGAGGTATTTGAAAAGATGCTATGTATTTGCAAATAGCACATATATAGTATATATAAGGGAGGACATTGACAATTGTAGATGAGGCTTTTTGAAATAGATTTAGGAAAATGAATCTGTAACTAAGTAGTCAGTGAATTGAGTCAGGGAGAAATGGGAATAAGAATTAACATTAAGACTATGCAGCCATAAAGAAAGATGGAGACTTTACTTCCTTCATGTTTACATGGATGGAGCTGGAAAACAGCCTTCTTAGCAAAGTATCTCAAGAATGGAAGAAAAAGTATCCAATATACTCAACCCTACCATGAAACTGATAGTTAGCTATCACAGGAAAGCTACAACCCAAGTTAAACCCAAGAATACAGGGAAAGGGGAGAGGGAGGGAAGGGGAGGGCAGAGGATGGGTCAAGGGATGGGCAATGTTGGGATCACGCCTATGATCTATCCTACAAGGGTACATGTGAATCTCTCTAAATGTGGAATATAAATGTCTTAACACAATGACTATGAGAATGACATGAAGGCTATGTTGGCCAATTGGATGAAAAAATGTTTCAAATTGTATATGGAACTGACACACTGTACCCCATGATAGTATTAATGTGCACAACTATGATTTAGCAAAAAAAATTACCATTAAGAAAATTATTGTACAAATAATCAACACATTGCATCTCATAATGGCATAAATGTATTTATGATCTATGTACAAATGACTTAATTAAAAAAAAGAAAGTTATTATAAAGATTCAGATACTTTTAAAGTCAGGTTTTCGTAAAGTGTTGTCAGTAATAATTGAAAGAATAGTAGCAAATCCTAAAGATTCTGTTGATCCTTTAGAAATCTAACAATGTATGTAGCTACATTAAAAAGTCAGTATTTACTGATAGAGTTGATATCTCCATAGATACAATTTTCATTCTTGATCCTCCATCATTCCTACTTCAAAAACTGAACGCATGAGCTTTAACTTGCTAAAAAAACCATATAATGTGGACATAGTGAGAAACACTGATATTTAGCATCAGATTGATTGAGAATCATGGATGTATGGAAACCTCAGGAGGATCCATCCTTACCTGTGACCTGCACTTCTGTGATAGCTTCTTCATAGAAATCACCATCTTTGAAGAGGCAATGGTATTGCCCATCATCATCAACACTGACGTTAAGGATCCTCAGGATCACTTTACCTTCTCCAATGGCTTCTGTTAGGAGCACTGTCCGCTCCACATACTGGGAGATGGTTTCTCCCTGCATGTCTTTACCATTCTCGTACAGATGAACAGGTTGTGTGTAGCGGTTCCGGAACCAGCGTACCTCCATATGTTGTGCACTCTGTGGTGGAGACAGCTGGCAACTGAGGTCAACATTTTCACCCAATGAAGCCAAGACTGGCCTCGCTAAGCCACTTACTGTGAATTGTTCTGGGAAGGGACATGGTAACAAAGAGTATGAGCCAGGGAACTTCACTATTATCAATCATTCTCTCTCCCCAGCTCCTGTCCCCTGGCCACCAACCTTTCTCTTTATACATGGTAATATATGTATGGTATATATATATATATATATATATACATACACACACACATACAAAAACATGTTTATGTGTTATATGTGTCTTTATATGTACAAACATATATACATGTTTTTATATGTACATACACTTCATTAAGTATAAATTGTTTTTACTGAAGACCACTTAACTTTGCACTTGACTTGAATGGTAGTTATCAAATTGTTTCCCTTATTGCTATTAAGTCCCCTTACAGCTATCTGATAGTTGTTCCTTCTTTCTTTCACTATATTCTTTCGTTCAGTCTGAATATTCTTTCTCTCAGATTATTTTTAAGAATTACTGCACATTCTTGAAATCCAGAAATTTATTAAAATAAATACATTAGAACCTAGGTAATTTGACCACTCAAGGGACTGTAACAAACTGGTCAACATATGGAGATGATTAACATGAGTAACTAGGCCTACTGTGCTGATACATACATGTGCAAGATTCATTAACTATAATGAATCTATGTATAAATATATGTTCCTCTTTTCCTGAATAAGCTTCATAGTACTTCTCTTCTTGAATCAGATGATTTGTGTCCTAATTTCTGAAAAATTCTCACCCATTATGCATTTAATTTTAATACCTCTCTTATTCTCTTGTTGCAGAAGTCCTATGTTCAACACATACCTTTTCTATTCACTTGAGAATTACCAGAAATATGCCTGAAACTTCACCTCTTGTCCCTACAAATGGTCCCAGGTTAAGATGTTTAATGTTTTTTGTTTGTTTGTTTGTTTTTTGTTGTTGTTGTTACCAATGGGCTGCAAGAGATGTTCTTTCAGTTTAGAGACTAGAAACTTTCACCATTGGTATTTAGTCCCTGACTGGAATAAGATATGGGAAGATGGAACATCTCAGACTCTCAGTTTTGTCCCCTGCCCCACTGATTGAAGAAAGGATAAAAACATAGTCAATACTTTAGTACTCTTCATTGTCTGACATGGAGGCCATCTTTCCTCTCCCAATCCCCTCTGTTATATTTTACTTGGTAAAGACAACCAAATAAATTTCCACTTTTCTTACCCTTAGGGGCTAAAAAGTCTAAAGTACCAATGTGTAATTAAGAAATTAATATTTAAAAAGTCTTTTACATATAGAAAAGAATACTCTTTGGGGCATTAATGGTTTATTTTAATCTGCATTTGATTATATGCTTATATAATAAATCTTTAAAAATAATTTTAAGTATATGACATTGATAATGAAGCTAATTTTATTCTCTTAAAAAGGTAAACTCCAGTTTAAATATTGATTTTTTAAATGAGTATGTGACAGACAAAATAATCACAAATATGATTCCTTACTATTTATCACATTTACCTTTATGTCTATTTTAAAATAATAATGGTTATAATGGTGTGGGATCAAATAATTTCATTGTTTTTGTATACTAGTTTTTATGTATAACTAAAAATACAGGTTGATATATTCTTAAGTTTGCATTAACAACCTCTATCATTGACCACCTCCCTACATTAATCACTTCCTAATTTTCAGACAGGACATGTATGTTTCAACATAGTAGGCCTAGTTACTTATGTTAATCACCTCTATATGTTGATCAGTTAGTTATAGTCCTATGGGTGGTCAAATTACCTAGATTCTACTCTATTTACTTTAATTAATTTCAGGACTTCAAGAATGTACAAGGAACAAGACAATACCACAAGGTGGCAGTGGTACACAATAAGCTTGTGTTTGGGCAACACCTTGCAAAAGGAGGCAGTCCTCACAGCCTGGGGACTTAGAGAAGCACAGGCCACCACCATGCAGAAGGGAGGGGGGGCAAAGGAATGCCTAGGTTTGGGGGAGCTATGTGTCTATGTAACATCTCTCCACAACACTATAGTAGGGAGTCTCAGGTCTATAAAGAGCTGGGGTCTTTGTAGCTATAAGATTTATCTATGGCTGGCAGATGTTGGGTACAAATTCCCAGGGTATACAAAGAAGGCAGGTAGTAAATAGCTACAAATATGTGTGTTTGAGATACATTTAAAATAACTATATGAGTATAAATTTGAGTTTGGCATTGGTGGGCTTTTAAGTTAATGGATCTCTGCCTGCTTTTAAGGAATAAGCAATAAAGGGCCAATTCGCAAAGGCCATATTTGGTTCATTTATGTGATAATGTGATAAACCCTAAAAAACTGTACAGCATGGAATGAACCTTAATGTAAGCTTCAACTTTGGTTAATGAGAATATATCAATGTTGATTCATCAATTATAATAGATATACACACTAATGCATAACGTTACTATTAGGGGCATTGTGTGTGTGGAGGACAAGTGGGAAAGAGGAAGTAGGGTTATATGAGAACTCTACATATTCTTCACATAAATCTTCTGTAAACTAAAAACTCTAGAACATAAAGTCTATAAAGAATGCAAAAGTCAAAGACCAGAAAAGGAGGATAAAATAACTAGGTAAGTAAAGGGAAATTTTGTAATCCATGTAATGAAAAGTGAAAGCAAAAAAATTCTTCACCTCTAAAATAAAATCAACAGATTCATTGAATTATAAACTTGGCAGAAATACATGCAATTAATATAACATAAAAAAA